TTTTTTTACTTATAAAAGTGGTCAGCACGGAGTAAGGCGGGAGGTATGGAAAGTTGCATATTACATAGATTCACATTATCTCTCTTACAATATATATATATATAATATAATAATATAAGCAAATGAGTTGATTTGAAAAGGCGTAGCCATAGCGTATGAAAATGGAGAACGGAAAAGTACAAAAAAAAAAAAAATTGAATAATCCTCCGTGCACGGAGACCACACTATATATAATTTTTTTTTTTAATTCTTTTCTCTTCAATTTTTTTAGCCCACAAATAACTTTTTCGTTAAAACTGAAAAATTAAGTTTTATTTAGAAGAGAAAAGAATTAAAAGAAAAAAATAATTGATTTTTTTTTAAGGAAAAAACACATACGTTTAATCTCCGTTTAACTATTTTCGATATTTATTTAGATCATTCAATGTCTTTACGATATAGTTCTCAAAATGAGTTTGGAGAGAATGTAAAACATTTATCAATTCGACTATTGTACAATCGTCGATGAATTTTTAAAGTTAGCTTGTTATCGAAAACTTCGAAATAGTAATAAAATAATTGATATTTTAAAGAAAAACGACTTATGCGTATTTTTTAACACATATGTTTGATATCCGTTTAACTATTTTTGATATTTATTTAGATCATTCGATATCTCTACGATACAGTTCTCAAAATGAGTTTCGAGAGAATGTAAAATATTTATCGATTTAACTATCGTACAATCGTCGATGAATTTTTAAAGTTAGCTTGTTATCGAAAATTTCAAAATATAGTTTGAAAATGCCTACTTTGACGTCCTATAATATTTGCTATGATTGACCGTTTCACGCACCGTTAACGACGTGCAATATTATGCCGTGAGTATTTCAAAACGATATTAAGAATGTAATATTTCGAATTCTTTGATATCTCGTAATGAGCGTGAAAATGAACACAAAAACATAAGTAAAAAAAAATTCATTTGTCTTCGTGCATGAAATCCTCTTATTATTATTTTTTTTTCTTTTTTAAATAAAAGTTAATACCTCTATATATATATCCAACTACGATGATATAGTTTTTTTTCTATATCTATAATAATGTAACAAAAAAAATCCATGCACTTTATGCACGGAGGAACGCGTCATTTTTGCTCCCCACTTGGAAAAAAATGAAATTTTAAATAATTTAAAAAAATTTACGTCATACCGCATAATTTTTTTTGAGCAAAATGATGTATTAAGAAAAATGTTACGAAAAAATAATAAATAGTAATAAAAAAATTGATTTTTTAAAGAAAAAACGACTTATACGCATTTTTTAATACATACATTTAATGTCCGTTTAACTATTTTCGATATTTATTTAGATCATTCGATGTCTCTACGATATAGTTCTAAAAATACGTTTCGAGAGAATGTAAAACATTTATGATTCGTACAATCGTCGACGAATTTTTAAAATTAGCTTGTTATCGAAAATTTCGAAATAGTAATAAAATAATTAATTTTTTTTTAAGAAAAACGACTTATGCGTATTTTTTAACACATACGTTTAATGTCCGTTTAACTATTTTTGATATCTATTTAGATCATTCGATATCTCTACAATATAGTTCTCAAAATGAGTTTTGAGAGAATATAAAACATTTATCGATTCGACTATCGTACAATCGTCGATGAATTTTTAAAGTTAGCTTGTTATCGAAAATTTCGAAATATAGTTTGAAAATACCTACTTTGACGTCTCATAACATTTGTTAGGATTGATCGTTTCACGCACCATTAACGACGTGCAATACTATGTCGCGAGTACTTCAAAACAATATTAAGAATGTAATATTTCGACTTCATTTGATATCCCATAATGAGCGTGAAAATGAACAAAAAAACATAAGTAAAAAAAAATTCATTTTTCTCTCTGTGTACAGAGTCCTTCAACTTTTTTTTTTTCTTTTTTTTCCTCCGTGCATAGAGAGATTTTTTTTTTTGTTGTGTAATTTTACGTTATAATTTTTTTTCAATTTAAAATTCTCTTTAATTCTTTTCTCTTCAAATTTTTTGCTTACAAGTAATATGTTGTAAAAAAATTTCTGTCGCATATTATCTCTATCTTTTTTTTTAATATAAAAGTGATTTTTTTCTTATATCCCTACTATATATATCTATATCGGAGTGGGGGAGGAATGAAAATTGCGTGTTGCAGTAAATTTAGAGGTAGTGTATAAAATATATATCAAGCAAACGACGTCGTTTTTTGCCCCCAATTGAAAAAAAAATGCTACAGTAAATATGGATCAAGGTACTGTTGCTTTCTACAGTGTCTCACATTCCCTTTTTTATATAGTGGGAATTAATGAACCTTTTTTTAAGTATTGTATGAGTAAATCTATTGGATTTGAACATTTGGCCCTCATCTTTTAAAACACCTAAGGATATTTGGCTCCTTTTAAAAATTGATATCTTAGAGTTAGTAAGGGCCTTGTCTTGTCATTATGCATTCTGATGACAATCTCGCCAATTCGTACAATACTTCGTGCATTATTATCTTTCGTATTTACTCTTTTTATCTACCCTTTGATTTACTCGTATATTATTATTATTATTATTATTATTATTATTATTATTATAGTTTACTCTCTAGAGAAGAAGAAAGGAAGAAATATGTAGAATTTACAAAGAGAGAGAAAATGGAGAGGTTGATAGAGTGAAGTGTTTTAGCCATTAGGAACGATCCAACAACTGAGGTCTTCCTTCAATTAGCAAATGCAGCCAAATCCTGCTCAAGCCCCAACAGTCAATACATCTGTCATTGGATCAAATCTCTTGCTCCGTCGCCCGCACGGGCATGGCGCAGTGGTAAAGTAGGAGGGTTCCACACGGAGCAACGGAGGTTCGAATCCCCGCGACAGTTGGAAAGCAACATTTATATTGGAAGGCAATTGTCCTGTGGAGGCTACAGGGAGGAGAACTGTCCGCAGGTTGTAAAGGAAGGCTACAGGGAGAAAAATCGCATCTCGAATGTCCGGCTCAAGTGTGTATAAACTGTGTTCGCATCTAGATTTACTTGGATGGTGAACCGGGAGGGAAAGCCGTCACTCCTCATGATTAGTAAGGCGAAACTTGGACACTTGAGTTATCAAAAAAAAAAAATCTCTTGCTCCGCCACTAGATTCATTCATGACTTCTGTATTCTCACGCATTTTGATTGCATCAGAGTTTACACACGTGTGAATTGACTCACCACCATTGCCCAAAAAAATCACAGGAAGCACACATCTTTTGGCCCAAATTATAAAAACCATTGAAATTAGAAAGTTATCTTGAAAAAAATATGAAATTGGGTCAAATAGCCACTTTCATAACACACTTTGCAAATATAGCCTTTGACCAAAATTAAAGTTTTAAAATAGATATTTTTAATCAAATTTAACAAATTTCCTTAATTATCCTTATTCCATCACAGTAAATTTCCAATTTCCCTTCTTCCTTTCGGACCTGACCCAAATTGAATGAAACACTTGTAACCCTAAATTCTTCTCCTCTCTTGAAGAAGGTGACAATCTCTTTCGAGAACTTCCTCTCGAACGACACTACGCCATACGGTCGCTAACTACTACTGCCCCCTCGTGAATCGCTACCTCCATTGTTGCGAATCATTGAAAAGTTATTCCCTCGTTTCATTTCCAAGAACCAATAGCCTATTGGACTATCCTCAGGAATGAAATTTTTAGCGATATATAGAGTTATTGGCTGACCAATAATTGTATGGAAAAACCTTGGTATACTAATTTTTAGAAGTTCATGTGTGCTTGGGTAAAATTTTGGTATATTGCTATTTACAAGTTGCTTTTCTAAAGCTTTCAATTTCTTGACTGAATAAGCGGGTATTATGTCATTC